AAAAAACAAATGTCTCTCTCTCCCTCCCTATCTTTCTTTCTCTTCTTCTCTCCTCTCTTCTCTTTTCTCTCCTCCTTGGTGCTGCTCTGCGGCATTCCCCCACACACACACTGATAAAGACCTTTTGCCCAAGCCTTCATGGTCTGTGATATCTCTGCCAGTCCAGTGCCACCCCATTCATCTGGTGTCAGGAGTGGGATCTAATTAGGGAACACGCCCAAGGGTAGCTTCTACCCCTTCCACAGGGTTTTAGCTCCTGGGGGCTCCCTGTCCACCTTTTATACTCCTGGCTCCCACCACTGCATCGGCTTGTGTCCATCCGCCAAGATGCTCTAATCAGCACTCAACACTGGCCTCATCCAGACTTGGTAACTACTCAGATGGTGCTTCAAACGTACACCCCAAATACAACTCCCAACCTACAACTAAAAGAAACAGTTCTTCATCAATGGGCTACACTCTACTCCAGACCACAAGACCTTCCTGAATACCACTTCTAAACAGCCACCGCTTAAAGAGCAAAAACCCTCCATCCTCCCCACAAAAAATCATAATTGTTTTCTAGTTGGCCAATTAAAGCTGCATGCCCCTCTCAGCAGGAAGAGGCTAAGAGAGATCTGGACTTCCCTTATCCCAAGGCCAACCCCCTATTTCTAACATATCAAGAAGGGAGGAATGTTAGGTATTTGCCTCAGAAAAGTGCCTTCCCCAGAAAGCCCCTTCCTGCGTTACAGGGAGTGGCCTGCTTACTTTATCTCCCTGTTTCAGTTACCCACTGCAAATCTCAAAATTATGGCCCGCCCTAACAGCTCTTCCCACTGAAGCAGTAACTCCTTATTGGCTGACCCACCATCCCGTCACCATTCTGAGACTTCCCTGTATAAGGGTACGTTTCTTTCTTCTCTCTCTCTCTCTCCTCCTTTCTCTTCTCCTCTCTCTCTTTCCCTCTCTTCTTCTCTCCTCTCTTTTCTTTTCTCTCCTCCTTGGTGCTGCTCTGCAGCATCCCCCCCCCCATAAAGACCTTTTGTACAAAAAAAAATTACCAAATGGAATCTGATTAAATTAAAAAGTTTCTGCAAAGCCAAGGAAACAATCAGTAGAACAAATAGACAACCTACAAATAGGAGAAATACTTTCATGCTATCCATCTGACAAAGGGCTAATAACCAGAATCCATAAAGAACTCAGGCAAATCAGCAAGAAAAAGTCAAACCACCCCATAAAATAAGTTAGTAAAAGACATGAACAGAAGCTTTTCAAAAGAAGATAGTGGTAACTCTTATGGCTAATAAACATGAAAAAAATAATGTCTCTAATCATTAGGGAAATGCAAATCAAAACCACAATGAAGTATCAACTAACTCTAGTGAGAATGGCATTTATCAGAAAATCATCCCCAAACAGCGAGTGCTGGCATGGATGTGGAAAGAAAGGAGCACTTGCACACTGTTCGTGGGACTACAAACTAGTACAGTCTCTTTGGAAAGTGTAGGAGATGCCTCCAAAAAATAAAAATAGACTACCATTGGATCCAGAAATCCCTCTATTGGGTATTTACCCAAAGGAAAAGAAGTCATTTTTTAAAAGACACGTTTACTAGAATGTTTATTACAGCACAATTCCCAGTCACAAAGATGTGGAATCACCCCACACTCAGCCATTAAAAAAAAATGGTTAAGCTTTTGTAACAACCTGGATGGAACTGGAGACCCATTCTTGTAAGTAAAGTATTGCAAGAATTGAAAAACAATCACCTGTGTGGTCACTATTATATTGGAAGTAATCCATCAAGACCCACGTGTATGTTTGGTAGTAAAACTCTTCTGGTAGTAAAACTCTTCGGAAAGCAGGGTGGTGGGAGGGGTCAGAAGGGGAGTACCCTAAGTGGGTACAGTGCACTTTAGCTGGGGGAGGGGCACACTTAGGACTTTGACTCAGACTGTACAAAAGCAGTTCATGTAACCAAATATTTATAACTGTAATATTTTGAAATTGAAAAATATAAAGGAGAGAATTGGCAGAGGAAGGAGTCATCACCTGTATCAGGTCTCATCCAGATTCAAAAGGGTATAACAGGAGCTCTTGGCCTCAGTGCTTTGCTCTCCACCCTCAGCAAAGCACTAAAGGCACTGGGGCAGGAAGTAGGTAAAAGGGGCCAGCAGGGAAAAGCAGGCCTTTTGGATCTCTTCCCTTCTGGGAGCTGTAACTGTCTCTATAATTGTGCAAAGGAGTTGACAACAGTGCCAGCTTCTTAGGTTCTGTGTGAGGGCTCAGGGGAGTAACCTTCAGGCTTGCCCATGTGGAGGAGTGGTGTCCTTAGTGGGACTCCCCTTTTACTACTCCTGTTACTGGTACTGGTCTCATGAGGTCAGAAGCCTTACAAGACTTCCTGTGTGACCCTGGAGTCAGGTCGACCTGCATGTGGACCCCAGCCCACCACTTACTGCAGTGGTAGCCCTTGGCCAGTTCATAGAACCCTTCCACCCTGTCTTCCTTCCCTGCTGGGCTCTAGGGCTTACTGTCAGGCAACAGCATGCATGGCACTTGACTTCTGTTCCCGCAGGGTTGATGGTCCCCTCTGAAGGAGCACTAGCACACTTGCACTCTGAGCAACCTCTTGGGATTCCACTTGTCTTACCCAGGCAGTGAAGCATCAGAAGCAATCCTCAAATGTTGCCTTCTCTATGGAGCCAGACCCACCGCAGGACTAGGTTTGTGGGATGAAGCTGAAGTGCACACCCTTGTAAAGAGCATAGGAGCTCCTGGGTTCATGTACCAATTAAAGCCTCACATTTCAGGGGGCTATGCGGACCACACGCATCCTGTCCTGAGAGCTGGCCCAACTGTGGTGTGGCTGTGCAGCACCAGAGTGACTGTCAGCTTTCCTTATTCCTGGAGATGTGAGCTCTTTTGAATTTACCTTTATTAGTTATTTGAGCCTCAAAAAATAAAACTGTAACAGATACACATAAAAAGTGTCTACGTTTATTTATCACTAGGCAGGAAGACATTGACTCCTGTGTGTACACTCTGTCCTCCAAGTAGCAGTGAGATGACGGGGGAAGGGGAGGCAGATGGCATTTGGAAGGTAAGGCCTTGAAAGAATTAAACCCTAACATTAGCCCAGGGCACCCCTTGTATGTCTACAGGTCCCTTCTCCCCTGAGCATCAGGAATGGTGCACCCTCCTTGGGAGAGGTGAGGAGTTAGTCACGTGGCTTATTTCTGTGTTTCGAGGGGCCTGGAAGAGAACGACTTTGAGGAACAGAGCAGGTTTGCTGTGAGGAGGTGGAAGGGGCCTGCCTATTGCTGAGTCCCCTAGGTGACAGTGAGCACACTACAATTACATTGACTTATCTGTGAACTTGTGGGTATTGATGTCTGTGCTGAAACCACCCCTAGGTGACCGTGGGCAAACTATAGTTATTTTAACTTTTTGGTGAACTTGTGGGTGCCAGTTTCTGTGCTGAGACCACCCCCTTGGTGACAGTGGGCACAGTACAGTTCCATTAACTTTTCTATGAACTTACGGGCACTGGTTACTGTGCAGAATTGATTCCAATGAGCTTCTCAGTCATTTGTAACTTCCTTCTTTCATATGGGTCCCGAATTCAGATTGGTAGCAAAAGCCATGAAAGTCGTGATGTCAGACACCTCTGTTCTCTTATTAGAATGGAAACAAAGTGACACAGTGTCTCCAAAACACCTCAGACACCTAGACTTCCCCCTCTAAGACCTACTGGGGTTGGCCACTCTCCCCATGAACAGCAGACAGCTGGTGCGATGCTCGTAGACAAGGAACAGAAAGGGCCGGTCGACAGTGAAGCGGACTTGGGTGGACAGTGGCATGAACCCGACGGTGGTCACAGCGGCAGCTTGGGTGCCCTCCTCGTTTACTGTGATGGTGCCTTGGTGCTTGAACTGTTTGGAGAGGAAGGTTATCAGACTCCCAAGGTTGGCACACAGAGGGACAGAGCACGTAGTACAGTCCCTCTCACTTGGGGAAAGGCAAAAATCACAGCTGACCAGAATCATCCTTGAAAATTCCCTTTATCACCTGCCAAGTGTAGCAGTCATGCCTGGAGGCCATGTGGTGTGACTGTAGAGTCACTTCCCTCTTGGCAGTGCCTGTGGTCTGAGGGTCTGGGGAGCCATGACAGCTGCTGCAGCCCCAGCGCTTCCTCTTCCTGGGGTACACTTCCATGAAGGGCTGGGTCTGTTGCACCATTTGGTGTCATTCTGTTTTTGCTGAGTGTCTAGTATTGGTTTATTAACATAAATGTGTGTGTGGTGCAAATCCTCTTTGTTTTCAACGAGTCTTTCACAATTAGGCCAGAGGGGTTCATTTTGTAGACTGGAGCCATGGTCCCCCCAGCCCTCAGACCAGAGGTACTGCCAAGAGGGAAGTGACTCTACAGTCACACCACCTGTCTCCCATCTCTGGTATCATCAAGAATGGGTCTCAGCTCGGCGCCTATAGCTCAACCCGCTAAGGCGCCAGCCACGTACACCTAAGGTGGCGGGTTCGAATCCCCAGCCCGGACCCGCCAAACAACAATGACGGCTGCAACCAAAAAATAGCCGGGCGTTGTGGCAGGTGCCTGTGGTCCCAGCTACTTGGGAGGCGGAGGCAGGAGACTCACTTGAGCCCAGGAGTTGGAGGTTGCTGTGAGCTGTAATGCCACGGCACTCTGCCCAGGGGGACAGCTTGAGGCTCTGTCTCAAAAAAAAAAAAAAAAAAAAGAATGGGTCTCACTCTAAGGCTACTCGCTGCAGGCCTTGCCCACTAAGCACCTGCCAGACACAGTGCAGGTAGGCACCTACCCAACCAGGTGCAGGACAGCAGACTTAGCACCCCAGCCCAAAGGTCAGACCTGGGGTGGGCAGGACCGGTCAGGGTGTGCTGAGGGAGACCCAGGGTGAGGGGGGGCAGGGCAGAGCAGGAGCAGTTACCAGGTCAATGGTGATCCTTTCTTCTGAGATGCCTGACATGTTGCCGTTTTTGTCAAACAGCGCCATGACCCCCATTGACTTCAGGGGCTCCACCAGGTTGTAGTTCTTCTCCAGCTTGAATTTTGGCAGAAGTACCTCTCGAGTTCTAGTCGGGGAAGGAAAGGGGGCCCAGATTTATTGAACTTCTGGTTATGAAAAAAATCATATTTTTTTCCTTTAAAGCTCCACAGCCCAGCCCCCTGAGTTGCATTTGCCTCAGAATTGACACAGCACTTTAAAGTTTATCTCCCAGGACTGTCTGCTGAGGATTTTGGAAATCCCTTCCCATTGCAGTTTCAGTTACTGACCACGGAGACATTTTTACTGTTGTGTAGTCTTTTACTTGAGACTATGATTAGTCTCCTGTCTTCAAGGTCAGCAGCAGAACTTTTAGTAGTTTGTGTTTTGAGAAGGCATCTGAAATAAACTTCATTTCTGATTTCAGGCATTTCTTATTTTGTTAATTAAGAAGTTGAATAACTGGCTCAGCGCCTATAGCACAGTGGTTATGGCGCGAGCCACATACACCGAGGCTGGCGGGTTTGAACCCAGCCCAGGCCCGCCAGACAACAATGACAACTACAACAAAAAAATAGCTGGATGTTATGGCGGGCACCTGTAGTCCCAGCTACTTGGGAGGCTGAGGCAAGAGAATCCCTTAAGCCTAAGAGTTTGAGGTTGCTATGAGCTATGACACAATGGCACTCTACCAAGGGTGACATAATCAGACTCTGTCTCAAAAAAAAAAAAAAATTTGTTGAATAACTGATCAATGTACTTACTAAAAGAATCCCTAATATCTATGCCAGACAGCACTGAACCTCCTTCGACTTTGCCTTGACATATGCAATCCCTAACAGGTGAGCAGTAGCAGTAGCACCATGGGCCGGTCTGGCACTTTGGAAAATAAAGATGTAAGACACAGTTCTTCTCAGGAGCCTGTTTTCCTTTTGGCAAGCTGATACTCAATTATGTGAAAGGGTGAAAGTGGAAAGATGGTGCCTTAATAGTTGAATGACTAGAGCAGGTCTGGCTCTAGAGGAGGGGTATTTGTGTGGCTGAGACTTAGAAAGGTAGGATAGGGTTCTGCCTGAGCAGAAGCAGGCAGGGAGTCTGAGTGGGGCTTGTTGGAAGGGCCAGGAAGCTGGGCCATCCTCTGAGAAGAAGGGATGGAAATGGCGTCTCAGGAAGTCTGAGCTGTACTGGTGCTTGGGTGGACTAAGGAATGGAACAGGCAGGCCAGTTAGGCCTCCCTGGAGAGGATGAAGGTCCCAGGCAGTTGAGAAGGAAGCAGCTACAGAAGAAATGTGGTTAAGCAAAGTCACCAGGCAAGGTGACTGGCTACCTGGGCAGTACCTTCCTCTGAGCCTACTTCTCTCAGTTCTGTTGCATTTGGGTTCTTGTCCTATAAGGAGACCAAGACCAGATTGGGTTTTTCATACGTGGGTCACTATGAAAGTTCCGAGACAGTATTGTGGTCTATGATTTCACTTCTCAGAGACACAGTCAGCTGTGTCCTTTCTGATTCACCCATGCAAGTTTCACTTTGCTTGGCTTATCGATATTGCTGGAAGTTTCATTTGTTTTTTGTTTTTGTTTTGGCCAGGGCCGGGTTTGAACCCACCACCTCCGGTATATGGGGCCAGTGCCCTACTCATTTGAGCCACAGGTGCAGCCCAGGAGTTTCATTTGTTTCTATCCTTGCAGATTTTGTGTTTCTTGATTTTTGTATATCTCAAAACTTTCATAATGACCCATGTATGGACCTAACCAGTATCCAATAAAATAGAAATAAGACATCTCTGTTCTTTTCTGCTAATCCAGTAATAATTTTGGTAAACTTTTAAAGCCTTCAGTTTTAACTAGGGAGTAATGGAAATGATGAATGAGGCATCCTCCATGGGCTAAGAGGACCTTTGATTTCCCTGGGTGGGGAAAGGGGAGAGCCAGTCCTTGTTGAATGCCTCTTAGGGTCCAGGCATTGAAAGGGATGCACTGGGATGCTCAGTTGCTTGTTGTTTTAATTTCTCACAGCAAATCTAGCAGAAGTAATGGAATTACTTCCATTACAGCCTACTCAAAGCAAAATTCAAGCACATAGCAGAGCTGGGGTTGTCTCTAAGCTGATCCTGAGCCACCTGTACCCGACCCCTGAGACTGCCCTGTGGGGAGCAGATGTGCAGCTCACAAATGTTCTCTGATTGCCTCTCACCACGCAAGGAATCTGGGCTGAATAAACAGTGGCAGTTTATGTGTGGCAGTTCTTGGATAGTCATTCATATTTCTCCCTTTCACTTCAAATCACCGGAGTTCTAATATTCCTGGACACCCCCAGCCTCCAAGAGCTCAGAATAGCAAACACACCCTCAAGTACCTGTTTGTCATGCTTTTTTGCCATCTTTCCACCACCTGGGGTGTCAGCTGGGCTTCAAGGGCCTTCATCCCAGACAGCTTGTGTGGGACCACAATGAGCATGCTGATGCCCCCCACGTACTCCAGCTGGAGGACGTCACAGTCTAGCTCCTGGTCATTTGCTGCAAGGAAGTTCCCTTTGGTTTGCATCATGGGAACCTTGACCACCTCTCGCTCATTCAGCCGGAAGTTGTGGTTATGTGTCATCTCCACTGGGAATTTATTCACCCAGGATCCTGCAACATCCACAGGGACAGATTCTTAATAGGGTACTGGTCCTCACCCTTGAGCATGCGTCCAAGTCCCTATAAGGGCCCACCCCCACTGTGTCTGATTCCCAAGGTCTGGCTTGGGCTGCGAATTTGCATTTCTTATGAAAGGTTAAAAACAGAGGTTAAATGGACTGGAGTGGACTCTGGCAAGACACCTGACTTGCCTGGGCCTCTGCTTCTTCATGTGTCAGTGGAGAAGCTTTGCACTCCTTTGAGCTGTTTTGATGGCCTTCATCCCTCACGCTGTGACCCTGTAGTGACCAGCAAGACATGTGGGTGATGTGATATTGCCTCAAGGCCTTCACTGAGGATCTGGGCTCAGTGTGTATCCAGAAGTAAGCCCATGCCTATTTTATCTGAGATGCTGGTAACTAATAATGATGGGGACCAGCAGTTGAGCACTAGCTGTGTACCAGGCATTCTTTTAAACACCTTTCCTGTATCTCATTTCTGCCCCTAGCAGCATATGAAGTGTGTGCCTTTTGTTATGATCCCCATTTTACAGGTGAGGAAACAGAGGCTCAAAACAGTGAAGTAACTTGTTTAAAGTTTCCAGCTGGTGGGTAGATCAGCTGGGATGAATAGAGCAGGAGGCCTTGGGAGGAGGGTCAAATACCCGGCAGTAGCTGGGCTCCCTTCTCCCTGAGTCTGCCTCTCCCAGGGCTTCTCAAGCTCAGCACTGTTGACATTTGGGCTGGTTAATTCTCTGGGGTAAGGGGATTGCCCTAGGCATTGTAGGCACTTAGCAGTACTCCTGGCCTCTCTCCACCCCTTGCCATTGGTGCTTCCCGGGCTTCCCAGTTGTGAGATCACAAATGTCTTCAGGCCTTTGCCCTGGGGACAAGCTTGCCCCAGTGGGAATCCCTGCCCTTCGCAGTTCTGATGGAGCTGACATGGGTCTTCTGGGGTTCTTTCCTTTTTACTTCCTCCTGAAGTTCAGCCTATATTTTTATTGTGCTTTACAAAGTGATGTGAATGTTCAAAATTAAAATTAAATTAGTAATGGAGATTTGGGACCTGGAAATTAAAATGACACTTGCAGACGTAGTTCTCCCTTGAGGAGTATTGGTAAAGGACTGGGCAATTCCAGCATTCACTGCCCCTGAGACCAGGGGAAGGAAGCTTATGTCTGCACCTTTCACACTGCAGTGTGAGGTGGGTTGCAGTGTTGAGGAGCTTATAAACTGGCAGTGCCTGGCCCTTTCTCCACCCTCATGCTGCAGGGATAGCTTGCTGGGTTTCTCCACCTGCCCCTGAAGTAGCTGGGGTGAATAGAGCAAGAGGCCTTGGGAGGAGGGTATCTTGGTACCCCTAGGGGCTCTGGCAGTCTGCTAGGATTGAGGACTTCCAGAATATTGCCATACTAAGTGTTGTGTCCCTGTCTTTTGAAGTTCTCCCCGCAACCCTGTTGGAGTAGGTTTTCCCTCCATGATAAGACAAGGAGCCTGAGTCACTGAGACATTGAATGACTTCCCTGAGGTCACACAAATGAAAAGTGGTAAAGCCAGGATTTACACTGCTGTTTGCTCAGCTCTAAAACTTGTACTTATGAAGAGTGGTGAAAGGGTATGTGTGTGTGCATCATGTGTACCTCCTGTCTGTGTGTGTCACAGCCTAGAAGAACTCAGCCTTTAATTCACCCACGAGAACCTAGCCTTATGCCTGCCTTTAGGGTGGAACCCTGGGAGTCAGATCTTAGCACCCCAGGCCTGGCCTCTTCAGGCCCTCTGGCCTGTCTGGCAGATTGCCTTATAGAGTGACATGTAGCAGGTGGGACACGGTGGCTCTGGCCCAGGCAGAAGTCAGGAGAGGTCCTCTGACCTTAGCATCATGGGCTTCTGTGAAACTGTGCTCAGGCAGACTAATAGGAAGTGCTGGCCCCTCAGACCTTGAGGACTCCTTGCTGGTACCTGGTAGCCCTTGGTGACAAAGAGAAGTGGTTGTGTGTCATGGCAGTTTAGTGCTGAAACTCTCACGTCTGCATCTTAGCACACTCAGTTTAGAGATTGTAGTAAAGATTTCTGCTATCAGGTACCAGTGAGAGCATTTTAAAAGATTGTATAAATCTATACTCATTTCCAGGTTTCCAGGGGTCCTCTGTGTTGTATGTGTATGTGTATGTGGTGGTGGGGGGAGGCACCTTAAAATGTGCTCTTGGGCCTGGCCCAGAGCTGTTGCTCAAGAAATAGTAGTGTTGGCTCTGTGCCAGTAGCTGAGTGGCTAGGGCTCCAGCCATATACACCGGAGCTGGCGGGTTCGAACCCAGGCCAGCCCTGCCAAACAACAATGACAACTACAACCAAAAAACAGCCAGGCATTGTGGCGGGTGCCTGTAGTCCCAGCCACTTGGGAGGCTATGGCAAGAGAATCCCTTAAGCCCAAGAGTCGGAGATTGCTGTGAGCAGTGACACCACAGCAGTCTACCCAGGGCAACACAGACTCTGTCTCAAAAAAAAAAAAAAAAAAGGAAAGAAAAGAAAAAGTAGTAGTGTTATCTCCCTACATCTACCGCCCATTTGTGCAAAAGTATCCTGAAAAACAGTCTTAGGTGTTAATATCAGGTGCTCTAGCTAAACATTTCTGGCTACGTTTCTGTAGGATTTGGGCCACATTCCTGCTTACTGATAGTTGGGAAAGGAAATTAAAAAACTGAAAGCCATGCTGGGCAAATGTTGAAAAGGGTTTTGCATTATTCCTTCCAATTTAACAAATCATTAGTGCTGGCTAGCTTGGGTCCAGCCCTGGCTCTCCCCTTGGTGCAGCTGTGTGCCCTTGGAGTGTCCTTTCACTTTTCCATGCCTTGAGGGCTTCATCTGTAAAATTGAGACACTTAAACAACTGCGACCTCACATGGTTGTGGTGAGGATTCACCGAGTATGAAGCATGGAGTTAGGGCTTAGTGAACGGCAGCTGCTACACCACCTCAGCATGGCCTGTCCTGCATGGCCCTGTCCCCAAGTCTACCTTGTGTTTTGTTGTCCTGGATAACCTACAGCTAGAGTACAGGTTCTGGCATTCAGTGTACCCATGTGCTAAAAGAGTATGTTGTGAGTTTTCTTTGGGAAACAAAAGGTTATTTCTTACCTTTGAAGTAGATGCAGTTTAGAATCATCATCTGTGTAGCAGGGTCTATATTTTCCAGAGCATCTTTTATGAGGCCCTTGGTGAGCTTTAGGATGTGGTTGTTGGTTTTTGATATGAAGGCAGGATCTGAAAAGTCAGCTGCCTGGGCCTCAGCAAAGTAATACTCTCTTACTTTAGCTTTGAAATCATCCAGGATTGGAAACTGCTTCTGGACATAAAGGTCATTGACTGATCGCAAAGTGTACCCAAAATTCCTCCTGAATAGGCGATGAGTCAGCTTACGGAAGAGATTGTGGATGGTCAGGATCTCATACTTGCTGCTGGCATTAACAAAGTCTTTGAAATGCAGGATTGAGTGCACTTGGTCATGGGTGTCTCCCTGCAGGCCCAGGGAAATCATGCCCATGGCAGTAGAAATGCCAACAGGTGCAATGAAGACGTTATCAGAAGTGCTGGCCTGGTCCTTCAGTGCTCGGTAAAGGTTGAAGGCAAACTTGGCGTTTAGGATGTTAAGACGCTGGATACGGCTCTTGCCCTGGAAAAGCTGGAGTACGTTTCCAGCACTTGCTTCTGAGTCTGTTGGGGAGACCGGCAGGCTGTCGATGATGTCGATGTAGTCATCGTCCTCGCTGAGTATCTTCTCCAGGTCCAGATAGTCATCGTCCTCCTCCCCCTCAGGAATCCAGTCGTTGGTGACCGTGTTTTCCCTGTGGAAGTCAGCAGGGAGAAGGGGCGTACTCAAGGTTTTGTTATTTAAGTGCTCCATGGGGATCTGGGGATCCACAGACTTATAAGTTTCTCCTCCCTTCTCAAGCTGATCCAGAAGACCTTTGTTCTCCCCACACACAGATGTTATGATGAGGGAAACCAGAAGGGGGTGAAACGGGTGTTTCATCTTGACAGAACTAGAGCTGGGAGAGAAAACAAACCACATGGTGAAAGGCAGCCTGACGGGCCCACCGCGCTGCAGCTTGGCAAGACACATTCCCTGTGGCTTTGATATAGGAATGTGCCCTCACAGCACCAGTTCCTGTTTTAGGATTATGGATTTTAAGAGAATCTGATGAAGATAAACAGATACCTAACATTTTGTGTGGGCTTCATAAACCTCCCTGAAGGATTCATGAGCCCCTAGATGAGAATCCCTTCTTTAAAGGTTTACGAAAATAATCTAGACTCTAGGGGTTCAGGGGTTTGGGAGTCCCGGGGGGGGGGGGTTGCTTTGTTTTTTTACTGAGGCATAGTCTCATTTTATCACCCCCTGTGGAGTGCCACGATGTCACAGCTTACGGTAACCTCAAACTCTTTGGCTTAAGCTATTCTCTTGCCTCAGCCTCTCAAGTAGCTGGGACTATAGGCGCCTGACATAATGCCCAGCTATTTTTTTTGTTGTAGTTGTCATTACTATTTAGCAGGCCTGGCTGGGCTCAAACCCACCAGCCTCTGTGTATGTGGCTGGCACCCTACGCACTGAGCTGGGGGTGGAGGGGGAGGCAATATATATATATTTTTTGAGACAGAGCCTCAAGCTATCCCCCTGGGTAGAGTGCTGTGGCATCACAGCTCACAGCAACCTCCAATTCCTGGGCTCAAGCGAGTCTCCTGCCTCTGCCTCCCAAGTAGCTGGGACCACAGGCGCCCGCCACAACGCCCAGCTATTTTTTGGTTGCAGCTGTCATTGTTGTTTTGGCGGGCCTGGGCTGGATTCGAACCTGCCACCTTAGGTGTATGTGGCTGGTGCCTTAGCCACTTGAGCCACAGGCGCCGAGCTGAAAGGAGATGATATTTTTAAGTTATTCACTAAACCTGTCTCCTACCTCCAGAGAGCATATTATGCACTGGTGGCACAAGGGTCCACCCAGGGGGCCAAGGGTACAGGCCCATCAAGGGATAGACATTCGATGATGTGAGGGCTCCTGGTTGGGTACAGCTCACACCAAGACAGGAGGATTGCTTGAGCTCTGGAGTTCAAAACCAGCCTGAGCAAAAATGAGACCCTCGCCTCTACCAAAAAATAGAAAAATTAGCTGAGTGTCATCGTATGTGCCTGTAGTCCCAGCTACTCAACCATCTGTCTCAAAAAGAAAAAAAAAGACTTGTATCTTGTCTAATGCTACCACGTACACACACACACACACACACATACACATACACACACACCTGCCTCCTAAGATGTGATTAGTGGTGGCAAGAAGCTTAGGACACATGATTGCTACAAGGCACACTTTCTCCTGTGTCTATTAAACCATGCTCCCGCTTCTGTCAGCAGGAATGAATCTTTCCAAATTGTTGCATCTTACATGGAGTTAGAAACAGTCTCACCAGGCAGGTAAAGTCTGCACAAGAGATGTCAGATATCTCTTACTCAAAACCTGAGGGCCACTCCCTTTATTTGAGTAAGCAAGGTAAGTTTTTAACACATAGACCTTGTGGTAAGCCTGCTTTCCTTTCTCCAAGGAAGATTTGACTTGGCTTGTCGGATCCATTTTGGCTATCCAGTGGCTTTGTCTTTCTCTTGCCAATTATTGATTATTAACTTCCTGGTTATTAACTGCATGCTGAGTAGATCAGCTATTATTTGATCAGCTATTATTCCACATCTCACCAGAACAGTGGCCGTTGGTGTTTATAATGCTGACCCAGCCATCCAGTACATGATCCCAACTTCTCATCACCCCAGAAAGACTTGTGTTTTTTTAAGTTTGATGTATGTCTGTAGACTGTTTCCTGTTACATATTGAAGGCCAGACTATCTGCTACCAGGCTAGGCCAGATGAGGGTTACTGGCTCCTGTTAAGAAAATATTTGAACTTGGTAGGCCTGAAGATGGGGTAGACTCCACTTGGAATGCACTCAGTTTTGTTGATGTTGATAATGGCAGTGACTTTATAGAGTCATTTGCCAGGTGCTACACAAGGCACTTTGTATAACTTAGCTTTATCCTTTCAGCTTCTACATGTTGGGAGATTGAGTCTCTAATCACTGACACTAATGAGAGGCAGTAGCTATATTTGAACCATGTCAAATGAGCCTCCCAGCCCCCCATTGTTTGCCTAGGAGCACCAGCATATTCCCTTACTGCCCGGGCTTGGGGAACAGCTTCCTGCTTAGATTTCCTTCTGTCAGTCTCCCTCCTGAGGTCTTCCTTCTACAGTACTATTAAAATAATCAGTGGGAACATTGTTTCAGTCAGAGTTGAAAGACTTCTGAATTGCATGTTTTGGAGAGGACAGTTCTCATAGCTTCTGACTTTAAAGAAATCTGTTGCCTTTGATCCTCCCTCTCAGCACCTCTTAGAGGCTACAGTGCCACATGGAGTCTGCCAGTGTGAAGCAGTTTCTATAAGAAATTTCTAATGTGTGTGCCTGCAAACAGAACTGGGCCTAGATTCCAAATAGAATCAGGCAGGGTGTCAATGGCATATACTTTAAATAAAGTTAGAAGAGAAGAAAGTAAGCAACTTGCTCCTTGTTCAACTACACTTAAAAGCATCCTTCCTTCCCAGATAAAAATACAGTTAAAGAGCAAAACAAAACCCAGCTTGAATAAGTAGGGGTTCAGGAATGACTCTGAGGCCAGATAGGAAAACAGGGTGCAGGCATTCAAGTTTTTGTCCTGATATTCATAAAGAGTATTTTGTAACTTCTTATACTCTGTTCCTTATGTTATATGATGAAAAGCCGAAAATAGTTTTTGTATTCTCTTATTAGAGGAAAGAGAAAATATTTTAACTTTCTGTGGATTGAAATTATGGATCTAAGAGGTAAATCTTCCTATTGTTTAGCTATTTATAATGGTATAATGCAAATTGTAGAAGACATTTAAAAACTGTTACTAGGTTGTGATTAAGTCCAGATTACTATCTCATTCAATCCAAGGAAGAGCACAGACTTGTTAAAAACAAACAAAAAAAATTTTTTTTAATTATAAAAGGGAAAATCATTCAAAAGTTTGTTTTTTTTTTTTTCTGGAAACTTCATATGGCACTTTGTTGCTGATTGCAGAGAGCTGGTGGCCTTCTCAGTTGTGCCTCAGAACATAACACCTGAAAATCTGTCATCTTGTCTTTAGGCCCAAACAGAGCAGGTGGAATGGGTGAAAAGTAAACTGAAGTTTTAAAAAATTGATTTTTTGAAATAACTTCAAACTTACAGAAAAATTGAAGGACTAATGTAGTAGAACAACTCCTGTATACTTTAAACCAGATCCACCAAGTATTTACATTTCAGAATATTTCACTTTATCATTTTCCATGTCCATCCACACGGGTATGTATATACACACGCAGACACTCACATACACATTGTTTTTTTTCTGGACCATTTGGAGCAGGTCTATTATATCATATCCCTAATCTTGGGGGGAATCCTCTTAGAGCAAGTGTCTTCTCATACAGAATCACAGGACAATTCTCTAATTTGAATAATTTAACGCAGGTACAATACTTACATCTGTCTGTTCCACAGTTCCTATTCCAATTTGTCAATTGTTCTGAAGTGTGACTGACAGAATTTTATAATAGATTGAAATACAAAAACCTTTTTCTACTTCTAAAAGCATAAAAACTTCTAAATTTGAGGTTCCAGAGAAACGAACCAGTTGCCCATCTCTGTACACCACAAATGAGAATTTATAATCAGCAGAAATATTAGAAATCAAACTTACCTCTGTGCTTTTGAGAAGTGGTGTTACAGAGATGAAATCAGCCAAGGTCACTAATGGGGTTTAGATGTGAACTTTGGTGCTGGACTGTTGTGTATTTTCCAAAGTAAACATGTCCCAATCCAAACATCAGGCAATTAGCTTGCTCAGCACAAACCTCCTCCACAGTGTCTTTGCTCACTGCTGAGTGATTTGTGACTCCTCAGCTCCGGTACTTACAAAGCTGATTTTTGTTGTTGTTGTTGTTCTGGACAGAGTCTTACTCACCCTGAGTAGAGTGCCATGGAAGACCTTTCTCAGCCTAAATTCAATGGAAAAATTATTAAAAGATAAATATATCGATAGAGTAAAATAAAAGGCAAATGACAAAGTGAGGGGAAGTAGTTGCAGCACACTTTACCCTAAGAAATTTTATATGTGCACGGTGATTAGTATTGCAAGAATGTTATAAGGATAGTCATCACAGTGTTATTTATAATAGTTAAAAAACATGAAGCATGGCTCGGCGCCCATAGCTCAGCATAGCTTACAGCAACCACAGATGCTTGGGCTAAAGCAATTCACTTGCCTCAGCCTCCCAAGTAGCTGGGACTATAGGCTCCTGCCACAACATCTGGCTAGTTTTTCTATTTTTAGTAGAGACAAGGTCTTATTCTTGCTCAGGCTGGTCTTGAACTCCTAAGCTCAAGTAAGCAGTCTACCTACCTCAGCCTTCCAAAGTGATACGATTACAGGCATGAGCCACTGTACCTTGACATAGCTGATGTTTTGAATGTATGATGGTCATTGTGTTGCCGTCCATGCACAACTTTAGTGCACAAGCACCTTGCCAAAGTCACTGCTTAACTGAAGCTCTCTGCAGAGTTCTGGGAGTCAGGTTCATCAGGGGTGGCTCTAAATTTCCCCTGAAAGTAAAGGCTACATATCCATCTCCAACTGCCATCTCCTTCTGGGATGATTTGACCTTACCCTGGTCTCCAGGGCTGACCTGGCTGGTTTGGCTACTAAGCAGCTGTTCCCACCCTCCTTAGCTTATTCCTCAGTGAAAAATGGAGGGGGGAGAGTGAGATTAGAGGTTTATAGAATAAGGAGATTATAGCATTGGTCCTTCTTCAGTCAGGAGTTAGAATACCCAGTTCAGGCTCAGCACCTGTGGCTCAAGTGGCTAAGGCGCCAGCCACATACACCTAAGCTGACAGGTTCAAATCCAGCCTGGGCCCACCAAATAACAATGACAGCTGCAACCAAAAAATAGCCGGGCATTGTGGCAGGTGCCTGTAGTCCAAGCTACTTGCGAGGCGGAGACAGGAGAATCACTTGAACCCAGGAGTTGGAGGTTGCCGTGAGCAGTGATGCCAACAGCTTGAAGCTCTGTCTCAAAAAAAAAAGAATACACAGCTCAGCTTCCGTCTACTATAGGACAGACGGACAAACACTGAGCAGTGCTTCCCAAACTCAAGGCCACAGAGGCAAGTCATAGAGATCTGTAGTGCTATCTTGATTTTTTTTTAATTTGTAATTTTAATTTTGTGATCTAAAATGTTATTAAAAGAAAATTTTGGATTGTCTGGAAGACCAGCTTATCATATAGCACTACTATTTGATTTTGGTGCCCACGTATGTTGGGAGTGTCAGCACCCACAATCTACCAGAAGGGAGAGTGTGACTCAGACAGGAGAATCTGCAGGAGTGTGACCTCTGGGGGTGTCTGGGCATCTCTCTTGTGTGTGGGGTGGTGCCTGTGGCTCATTGAGTAGGGTGCTGGCCCCATATACTAAGGGTGGTGGAACAAACCCAGCCCCAGCCAAACTGCGAACAAAAAATAGCTGGGCATTGTGCCAGGTATCTGTAGTCCCAGCTACTTGGAAGGATGAGGCAAGAGAAACACCTAAGCCCAAGAGCTGGAGGTTGCACCTAAACCCAAGAGCTGGAGGTTGCTGTGAGCTGTGATGTCACAGCACTCTACTGAGGGCAACAAAGTAAGACTCTGTCTAAAAAAAAAAAAGTCTAGTGTGGGTCGGGCAAGGTGGCCCACTCCTGTAATCCCAGCACTCTGGGAGGCCGAGGTGGGTGGATTGCCCTGAGCTCACAGGTTCAAGACTAGTCAGAGCAAGAGCAAGACGTCATCTCTAAAAATGTCTGGGTGCTATGGCAGGCACCTGTAGTCCTAGCTACTTGGGTAGTTGAGGCAAGAGAATCACTTGAGCCCAAGAATTTGAAGTTTCTGTAAGCTATGATAGCACAGCACTCTACCAAGGGTGACAAAGTGAACTGTTTCAAAAAGAAAAAAGAATAAAGTCTGGTTGGTGTGTAAAGGGCCATTGTGTTTAGGACAAGGACAGTAGTTGAGTTTGAGTTGGGCTGTAGCTTTAGTTACAGCTATTTTTATTTTATTTTTTATTTTTATTTTTTGAGAGTCTCACTGTCTCGCCCTTGGTAGAGTGCTGTGACATCACAGCTCACAGCAACCTCAAACTCTTGGGTTTAAGTAATTCTCCTGCCACAGCCTCCCAAGTAGCCAGGACTACAGGTGCCCACCACAATACCTGGCTGTATTTTGGTTGTAGTTCTCATTGTTTGGCAGGCCCGGACTGGGCTGGAACTCACCGGCTCTGCTGTATGTGGCTGGCGCCCTAGCTGCTGAGCTACACGTGCCAAACCGGAGCTGTTTTTATTTTTATTTATTTATCTATTTTTGAGACAGAGTCAAACTGTGTCACCCTCTGTACAGTGCGGTGGTATCACAGCTCACAGCAACCTCAAACTCTTGGGCTTAAGTGATTCTCTTGCCTCAGCCTCCCATATAGCTGGGACTACAGGCTCCCACCACAACACCCAGCTATTTTTTTTTTTTTATAGCAGTTGTCATTGTTGATTTTTAGCTGGCCTGGGCTGGCTTTGAACCCACCACCCTTGATGCTGGGACCGTAACCTGTGCTATGGGTGCCAAGCCTAGATCTGTTTTTAAAGAGCCTTCATCTGTCCTACTCAACACTGAGTCTTCAGCATGGCACCGTAACCTGTGCCTGGGCTCCTCCTCAGGGCCTCCTGAGCCCCACAACATCTACTCCAGCTAAGCTCCTTGTTCTCTGTCTGGTGATCACACATGTTGAGCCCAGTGAGCCTTGGTGCTCACTGTTATTCCTCCTTGGGGCGCCTGTCTCCAACAGCATGGGTCCACTGTTTCCCCTCAGCTCCTCTGGGGCCCACACTGGCCACCCTAGCTGAAATCACAGCTGCCACCTTTGGCTCTCAGTCTACTCCTCTTTGAAACAAGGGTGACGATTATATCTGGTATAAGATTGGTGTGAAAAGTAAATGAGGTGATGAGTTCATGGGAAGCACATGGAGTGGTGCTGGGCCTGTGGAAAATGCCCAGGAAGCATGAGCCTTTCTGTGCCAGTGCACGTGCACAGAGGCCGTCTGCGGGCAGTGTTCCTCTTCTACTCTGGAAACTTCTTTGTTATTTTTTTTCCTATGAGTATATATTACTTTGGGGGTTTAAAAAAAAGTTGGTTTTTGGGTTTTTTTGAGACATTGTCTTGCTCTATCACTCAGGTTAGAATGCAGTGGCATCATTGTAGCCCCCAGCAACCTCAAATTCTGGGGTTCAAGGGATCCTCTTGCCACAGCCTCCCAAGTAGCTGAGACTTACAGGCCCCTGCCACAACGCCCGGCTATTTTTTTTTTTTTGGAGAGACGGCATGTCACTGTTGCCCAGACTGGTCTCGAACTCTTGGCCTCAAATGATCCTCCCATCTCTGCTTCCCAGAGTTTAAGGATTACAGGTATGAGCCACTGAGCCTATTCTACTTTGGTATTTTTTTTAAAGCCAGGAGCCTCTGATATTCCCTGTACATCTAGATTTCTCACCATGTAAGCCACTATTAAAAAAATGGCTTTCAGCTCGACATCCATAGCTCAGTGAGTAGGGTACTGGCCACATACACTGAGGTTGGCAGGTTCAAACCCAGCCTGGGCCTGCTAAACAACAATGACAACTGCAATCAAAAAATAGCCGGGGATTGTGGCAGGTGCCTATAGTCCCAGCTACTCGGGAGGCTGAGGCAAGAGAATTGCATAAGCCTAGGAGTTTGAGTTTGCTATGAGCTATGATTGCACAGCACTCTATGGAGGGCAACATAGACTCTGTCTCAAAAAAAAAGAGGCAGCTCCCATAGCTCAGTTGGCAGAGTGCCGGCCATATACACCTAGAGTGGCAGGTTTGAACATGGCCCAGGCCTGCTAAGCAACAATCACAACTGCAGGGTGGCGCCTGTGGCTCAGAGCAGTAGGGCACCAGCCCCATATGCCGGAAGTGGTGGGTTCAAACCCAGCCCTGGCCAAAAACTGCAAAAAAAAAAAAAAGATAAACAACTGCAACCAAAATATAGCCAGGCCTTATGGTGGGCACCTGTAGTCCTAGCAGCTTTGGAGGCTGAGGCAAGAAAATCGCTTTAGCCCAAGAGTTTGAGGTTGCTGTGAGCTGTGACACCATGGCACCCTACCCAGGATGACAGCTTGAGACTCTGTCTGAAAAAAAAAGAAAGAAAAAAAGGAAAAATGGCTTTCAACCCTAACACTTTGGCATTTTATCTGTTCCCAGTTTGTTTTTTTTGTTTTTTTTTTTTTTTTGAGACAGAGCCTCAAGCTATTCCCCTGGGTAGAGTGCCATGGCATCACGCTCACAGAAACCTCCAACTCCTGGGCTCAAGCGAGTCTCCTGCCTCAGCCTCCCAAGTAGCTGGGACTACAGGCACACGCCACAACGCCTGGACATTTTTTAGTTGCAGACATCATTGTTGTTTGGCGGGCCCGGGCTGGGGATTCGAAACCGCCACCTTAGGTGTATGTGGCTGGCGCCTTAGCCGCTTGAGCCACAGGCACCGAGCCCTGTTCCCAGTTTTAAAGGTAACAGATTGTGCGTGGTTTTAGCCCACACTGCACAGCAGTACTTCCTGTCACACACACTCCTTTGTTTTTGTTTCAGTTTTAAAGCTTTCCTCTTGGTTAGAAATTTTTTCCAACTTTTGAATCTGAAATTTTTACATATACAGAGAAATTAAAAGAATTGAGTAGTAAACATTCACATAACAGTTCCTAGGAAGAACACGTAACATTTTGCCACATCTTCTTAATTACACATGAGGGGGCTGTTTCCTGGGATATTCGGAAGGGCACTCCAGCCCTCGGCACTGGAGCCTGTGTCTCCTCAGTGTAAGGGCCCTTGCCCTGCCCTGCACCATTAGACTCCTGGGAAACAGTCATAGGCCAGTCAGATGCCTTGTCCAAGCCAAACTTCTCTGTGACTTCATAATGTCTTTAAGAGTTTCATTTTTTAATTTCTGTTTTTGAGAGAGTCTCACTACATCACCCTTGGTAGAGTGTTGTGACATCACAGCTCACAACAACCTCAAACTCTTGGGCTTAAGCAATTCTCTTGCCTCAGCCTCTCGAGTTGCTGGGATTACAGGCGCCTGCCACAATGCCTGGCTATTTTTTGGTTACAGTTGTCATTGTTGTTTATCAGGCCAAGGCTAGGCTTGAACCCACCAGTTTCCATTCTCTCTCTCTCTTTTTTTTTTTTTTTTGAAATGTCCTCCTCAGTAGAGTGCTGTGCCATCACAGCTCACAGCAACCTCACACTCTTGGGCTTGAGCAATTTTCTTGCCTCAGCCTCCCAAGTAGCTGGGACTACAGGCACCTGCCACAATGCCCAGTTATTTTTTTATTGCATTTATCATTGTTGTTTAGTTGGCTTGGGTCAGGTTCGAACCCACCAGCTTCGTTGTGTGTGGATGACACCTACTCACTGAGCTACTGACACCAAACCCAAGAGCTTCTTTTTTTTATAAATCAAGTCAAGGTCACACGTTGCATCTGGCTATCATGTCTCTTTGGGCTCTTCTGTCTTTTCTTCCATCTCAGATTTGATTTTTAGGAGCAAGCTGGTCTGTTGCCTTTAACCTTTCTTGTCTTAGGAACCAGATAAGACGCTTCGTCACCTTATAGCCCTTTTCCAGACTGTCCCAGCTCCTTTCTGTCATCCTTGAATCCTGGGAATATTTCCCTGCATGGGCCCCATGCATCCACAGCTGTGTTGTGTCATCATCTCTGGACACATCAAGCCCTCTGAGGGCCTTTCTGTTATCCCTTGGCCTTCCCTTTCCAACTAGGGCAGTCTAAACTGAGATGATGGCACATGGGCCAGGAGAAGTGCAAAAGCAGAGAAAACCCACAAGGCCACTTTGAAGCCAAAGTCCTAAGGAGGGAGCCATGATGCTCACGGGGTCAGGAGCAGGCTCCCAAACCAAAGGTGGGGTGGAGTCACCTTCTCTTTCCTTTGTCAAAACCACACTGGGCTTCCCAGCTGCTTGGAGCCTCTGACCCCAATGAGCTTAAAGTATTCTGGAAGCCAGACCTTTTCCATACCCGCCAAAGGCAAGTTCTCTTTGTAAGATACCAGAACCTCTCAGTCACATAGACCTTGGTCTGGAAAGCCCATCTTGCCTCCATCATCACTTGGGACCTTGTCATAGTAGGTCTGTCACCTCAAAGACAGTTTCACAGCTGCTGGTTCTTAGAACCACTGTGCTTGGCCACAACATATTGGAAGCCCTTTATCAACTGTTCTTTTGTGCCCAGTTTACCATGTGGCTCTGGGCTTCCTGCTCTTTGACAACCCCTCTGCTACCCACAGCTCAGCCCTCCCCAGTGTTCCCATCTCCTCACATTTTCCAGAGTCTACCCTGCATCCCCAGAACTAGTCTGATTCCTCCCCAAGGACAGAGTGCCCTGCTAGCTCTCAAGGACATCAAGCCTCCTCCCTCACAGATTGCCAAGTTCTGGACTGGCGCCTACACCCTTCCTTTGATTGTAGAAAGAACAGGTTTATGGAAGAACTCCAGAAATATAGACAACATTAAAGAAGAAAAGAGGCTAGGTGCAGTGGCTCACACCTCTGATCTTAGCACTTTGGGGGCCGAGGTGGAGTTGAAAACCAGCCTGAGTGACATGTAAGACCCCATCTCTACGAAACTTTTTTTTAAAAATTAGCTGATCTGGTGGCTCACATCTGTAGTCCCAGCTACTTGGGAGGCTGCTGCAGGAGAAGCCCTTGAGCCCAGGAGTCTGAGGTTGCTGTGAGCTATGATGACACTGATACCGGAATTTCGTCTTGTCTCCTGGCTGACTCACCAAATCTGATACCGGACTTTCAGGTTCTTGGTCTCGGTGATTTGAAGAATAAATCCACGGACCACAGATCAGTGGCAAGACAGAATTTATTTACAGAAAAAGAATACAAAAACGCTGAAGTTCCTGGTAGGGAGAGAAAACCTCTCTCTGTTTTTTTCTCTCCATCTGTCTCCATTTAGCAGTATATATAGGTGCATGGATTCCTTCTATATGAGGCCAGGAAATGAATGGACACGGTCTCTTCAGCTGGGGCAAGGTGAATGAATGTATTAATGAATGGACACAGTCCATTCACAGAATTGAGGCCTAGGAAACTTACATGAAATTGACCTAGGCATAGGAAATGGGGGTTCCGTATTTAGTCATAAATGTAAAAGGAAGGAGACACCAAGGTGCCGGTGTTTCCCCAGCAGTTGTCGGGTCCCTTTGGCTACTGGAACCTCTGATGGGGGAGGGAGGCTCCCCCCACTTGCCTATGCTCCAGCCCGCTGGTTCCTCTGCCAGCTGCCGCCGCTGCACCAACACCACTAAGGCAGTCCTCCAGCCCAGCTCGGCTGAGCTGACTGGGGTGCCACCTATCCTGTATCAACACCACTGCACTCTTGCCTGTGAAGCAGAGCAAGACCCTATCTCAAAAAATAAAATTGGAGGCTGGGTGTCCATAGCTCACTGGTTAGGGCACCAGCCACATGCACCGGTGCTGGTGGGTTCGAACCCAGCCTGGGCTTGTTAAACAAACAAAAGAAAAAATAGCCAGGCGTTGTAACGGGCCTCTGTAGTCCCAGCAAGAGAATCACTTAAGCCCAAAAGTTTGAGATTGCTAGGAGCTAAGACGACACGGCACTATGCCAGGGAGGGCAACAACGTGAGACTCTGTCCTAATAGAAATAAATAAATAAATTAGATTAAAATTAAAAAGCAAAGAAGAAGAGAGAAATCCCTGGCAAGCCAGCCACTCAGAAATAATCTTAGATACATATTTTTAAAATGTGTATCGTTATTCACTCACTTTGCGTTTTTTGCACCTGACATATTGTGATTTCTTCCTGTGTCACCAAATGGTTTTTTATAAGACTTATTAATATACTCTTGCTTATTTAAATGCCCCCTTCAGATAGGTATTTTGTGTTTTTCTATTTATTTTGCTGTTATAACAAATGTTACAACACTTTGTGCCTAAATCGCTTGTTGTGGGGGATATATTCCCTAGAGAAGGGGTTTTGTGTGAAATAGGTGTGGGGATATTTAGAATTCTTGATGCAGCTTACCAAATTGCTTTCCAGGAAGTGTTGTGCCAGTTTAGAGTCATGCTGTGTCCCTCACCTTCAAGTGATGGGTGTTATCTGTGCTGTCTCTGGCCTCGTCCAGGGTCTGCCCATACTTGTCGCTCATAAGTGTGACACACTCACTGTGTGTTCATCTTCCCTATACTGGGGCTTGATTTCTGTGAGGATCAGCCTGTCCAGCTGGGCCTGAGCATAAATTTAGCCATTTTACATCACTGGTAAATTGCTCCCTGTCTCACACCACGTGGGTCACAGTATGGAGCAGGGACACAGGGGCTTCAGCCCCTCACCTGCTCCCAAGGGACTCTGCCTTAACCTGTTTTACATATAGGGCTTCTGCCCGAGATTACTACTTGGAAAAGTTGTGCTGCTGAAAAAGATTAGAAAGCCACTTCTACCTTTCTCACAAGATTCTCACAATCTTTCTGCCTCTCCAGTTACATCTCTCCCTCTGAGCTCCAGCCCTCATGGTGGTTTGCCTTTCTCTCAGAGCTCCATGCCCCCCACAGTCCCGGGCTTAGGACCAGATGCTCCTCATGTCTGCACAGGCTGCCCTCTCATCTGCCTGACGAAGCTTTCCTTACATGTTAACTGTGAGACCCATAGTGCCTTTTCTGGGAACTCTGTCCCACCAAGACTGTTTGTTCTCCTGCCTCTAAGCTGGACAGAAAGCTCTCTGAGCACTGGAGCAGGGCTTTTGTGCACTGTCAGACACAGTGTCCAGCACACATTAGATACTCAGTGAGTGAACTACTCATGTTTGTTGGCAGAATTTCTGAGGCGAATCAGTCACTGTGCAGTATACCTTTTCCTACCTGGTCTGACTGGATGAGTCACACACAGTGTTCTTGGAGAATGAACCTGTGGGATTCCATATCTACAGGCTTTACAAGAAAATAACCTCTTTCTCCTTCTCTCCTTGGCATGTTAGCTCACCCGACGATTGCCGCCCATCAAAGAAGCTAAGCCTCGGTTACAGAAGCTCTTCCGGGACTTCTGGCTCTATTCCGTGCTCATGGGATTTGCTGTGGAGGGCTCAGGTAGGGCACAGCTCTCTCCCAAGGAAGACAGAGTGTAGGATAAAAACAAAGAGGAAGTTGCATCAGCCTGATGAGGGTGTGAGCGTGTTTTAAGTGAGTCCAGTGCAGCGCTGCTTCCTTCAAGTACTTGCAAATGTTACCCTTCTCAGATGTAGTTTAGGGTGTTGAGAATGCCATATAACCTTAGGGAAAACCCACCATTCTGTGTCCCATTTGGAGGACAATTGTCTCAAAGAAAGGACCTTTGACTCTAGGAATTGTCAGAGTCAACCCCACTGTTGAACTTCTGGACTAAGGCACACGCCTCACTTGACGTTCCTCTTTTACAGGACTATGGCCAGAAGAATGGTATGAGGGGGTTTGTGAAATAGCTACCAAGTCCCCCCTGCTCACCTTCCCCAGCAAAGAGCCACTGCGATCCGTCCTCCAATATAACTCAGCCATGAAAAATGACACCGTCACCCCTGTAAGGATTCTTGTCTCATTTTTGCTAAGCTTCCTGGGATGATTGGGGTGGATCCTTTCCCTGTCCTTTTCAACGCATGTTGCTGGGCATGGGGACCTGTTTCTACTGGGGAGGTGCCCATGAGCCCTTGAGTGTTTCTTTCCCTTCAGGCTGAACTGAGTGAGCTCCGCAGCACCATCATCAACCTACTAGACCCTCCTCCTGAAGTGTCTGCCCTCATCAATAAGCTGGACTTTGCCATGTCTACCTATCTCCTGTCTGTGTACCGGCTGGAGTACATGAGGTACACGAGCCTTCACCTCTATGCTCATCCACATTCTTTATTTCTGAACTCTTCTATGCATGGAACTTTTCATTTCCTCCCGAGATGTGCGTGCTTTCTAAAAATCCAACAAAAACACTCTCTACTTTCTCATGTACCCTCCTTCATGAGCACCAAATGCCATGTCTAATAATACTTCCCAGTATCTGAACTCCACCATCACCCCTCTCTCACAGGGAACAGACTTTTTGTACAGTCTCAGTCACTGTTGCAACTCAGTCCACTGACTGGGCAAGGGCCCCTCTGAGGAGCAGCCCTTATTAGGCATGGCTCTGAGACACACGTTGAGCTGGTTTCCAGAACCACAGTTGAGTATAAGTAGCAAATGCAGCATGGAATGGAGCCTGCTTCAACAAATCCTGCAGGTAGCCCAGTGACCAGGATGTACCTGTAACCACAGCAGTCCTAACGACTATAATGCCTGCTGGGGTCTGTAATAATTGTGAGTGCTCATGCTGCGCCAGGGACTGTGCCATGTTATGTATATTGATGCCCCCTCCACGCTGTTATGTGCCCATTGTGCAGATGAGGAAACTGAGACACTGAGCATCTAAGCAGTCACCTAGGGTGGTAATCTCTAATGTGGATTGAAACCCAAACAGTTTCCTAAACACTGCCTTGCCACCACTCATAATCAAAGCTGGAAACAGTAGCCAGGGTGCACAGTGCCCAGCTGCCAGCAGCTGACCCCTGTGACTGGGGTTCTACAGCCCCTCTGTGGCAAGGCCCGAGGCTCCCTGGAAGTACAGCCAGATGCACTAGCTACAAAGCGATGATTCTCTGTCATCAGGAAAAGGTTAAGTTACACCTACCTTGTTTCCCTGAAAATAAGACACTGTCTTATATTTATTTTTTCTCAAGAAGACACACTAGTGGCTCGGCGCC